GATGTATGTAAACTGTAAAATACACATGAATATAGAAACCTGATGAAGCCATTGTTGATGTATGTAAACTGTAAAATACACATGAATATAGAAACCTGATGAAGCCATTGTTGATGTATTTAAACTGTAAAATACACATGAATATAGAAACCTGATGAATATGCAGTTTTTTGTTTTGGAAAGCAAGATATATAAATTGTGCAGTATATATACATATATATATATTGAAACACAAAATAATAACTTTATTTTTTTACTCACTGAAAGAATAAAATTATATTCTCCAAGATTTATTATCATAATTTTTCTTCCTTGAGTTTTGTATCTATGAACAAGTACTGTGTTCTTGTGGTTTCAGGTGATAAATTTCTACATGAACCTGTTAATGGAAAGGGGGAAGCTGGAAAACTTTCCATCTGTATATGCCTTCAATACATTTTTCTATCCCAAGCTAGCTGCTGGTGGCCACAATGCCCTACGAAGGTGGACACGAAAGATCGACATTTTCTCCTACGACCTTTTGTTAGTACCCGTTCACCTTGGAATGCACTGGTGCTTAGCTGTATGTGAAAATAATAAGTATCATCTCTCTTTCTTTGTGATTTAGTTTGAAATTCTCTTCGAAAATAAATAACTTACTTCCAGTTATTGATAACAGTTTAAAGTTTTTTCTGCCCCTCTCCTTTCATGCAGCTTTACAACTTCCCCCTGTAATCTGGTAGTAAGTCATAATATAGGGCTATTTTCAGTTTGTAATAAGTAAAAACCGGTACTTGTTTACTTTATAATTCGGTTAGTTTCACTGCTGAACAAAAGTTTTAATATTTTTAATTTTACATTCTGTATTTAGAGCCACAAAGCAAAACCTTGGTATTTTAGAGATACAGTGTTGTCTTAAAGAATATGGTGGCTAGGGTTATAGAATAAAAAAAACTTAACAATTTTGTTCATAGATTAGTGTACAATAACAAGCCTGCAGACCAGTTATCAAAAGCTAAGGGAAGTACATCAAATTTATTTAAAAGATACTTGTGATAAAATAGATTTAAAAGTACTACTTTAATGGAAAAGTAAATTCAGACATAATATATGCGTGTTTCATATCACTAAAACTATAATTATTTTTTGTTGAGAAAAAGATTTAAAAGGCTGATTCTATTTATAGATTTAACACATCACAAAATCAGGCTGGCGTGAGGGAATGTTATCCCGTATTAGTAATTCTGCTAAAGAACAAGATTTGGTTAGTTGTAGTGGTGAAATATTCAAAGATGATTCACATAACATACATATAAACTGATTTACAGTCAGTATTTCTAAAATTTAACAGTGACAAGTGTTACAATATTTCACACTTTTGTTTGGTCTTCTAGTTGTTCAAGAACAAATTAAGAATTGAGCCAGTCATGGTGTGAGAAACATTTAAATATTGATACTTTTTCTAACAGCATATGATTAGGAAGGGGGAATTTTGTTAAAAGCATTAATTTACTGCTTGTTGTTGAATAATAATCAGAAAATACAAACAAAATTGCATTGTTTTTTGGAGCATTAGAAAATTCAAAGTTTATAAAATGATTTTGTATGTTCAATAAGCTGATCAATATATTATAACATTATTAATCAAGAGGTATTACACTCTTTTTCAGTAGTACATTTAAACTAATTGATCTGGTCCTTTCTAAAATTGGCACTCAAGTAGCCATACTACCAGACTATAATTTTAAAACAAATTTCCAAGTTCATGCGTTATTTTGAAAATACTAAATCAAATTAAATAAGCATTTGCTATAATTTGTTGGATTTTTCTTTCTATTTTTTTTTTCCAGGTGGTGAACTTCCAAGATAAAAAAATTGAGTACTATGATTCAATGGATGGTCAAAATGGTGAATGTCTAAAGGCCTTAAGGTCAGTATTGTGTGGTGAATAACCCTTGAAAAGAAGTAAAGTTTTATTCTGTTTTTGTGTGGTCTAGTATATCTTTTAGCCTGTTTCTTATTGAACTGAAGTTTTTGGGGTTGTTATCTTTCAGAACTTACTTACAGGAGGAAAGCTTGGACAAGAAGAAAAAAGAATTTGACATCGGTGAATGGTCACTGGAAGTTGTTGAGGTGTGTCTGCTTGCCTTGTGCAACATTGTTTGGAAGTCTGTTATAGTTTATTAATGCAATTGTATGTAGTAAAGGTACAGTTGTTTTAATAACTCATGTCTTTCATAATATATATTTTAGTTTATTTAGAAATGGATACTGTCAGTAACAGGAACCCAATGAACCAGTACATTCTAATAATTACAAGTTTGACATTGCATACTTCTAATAAGACTGGTATTTTAAATTAACTACATCATTTATTGGGTTAATCTTAGTCCTGATCTATGTAGGTAGCTTGTCTTGATCAAAAGTTATTGATAAATCCTATGGAAAGTAACCTAAAGCACTGGAAGAAAAAGGAAAGAAAAAACACCATGTATCCCATCAATATTCCAATAAAATCATATGCAAAAAAAAAAGAAAATCATCAGTCCAACTCAACTAAGAACTGTTAGTGCCCTCTAGGGAAAGGTTTAGGTGCCACGTCTGTTTGAATGCTTTTGTAACAACTCTCCCACTTTCATAAAGCACAGGAACAAGATTATAGTTAATAACTGAAAGTAAAATTTAATGATAAATAATTATGTAAGTGGTGTTTAAGAGGTCCATCTGACAGTAATTATTAGAGAAAAGAAATCGTGCTGTTTAGAACTTTTCAAACTTGACTGAAGAAAGAAAGAAATGCAGAATAAGAGATGATAGCCAAAAATATAGTTTTTTCTCAGTGAGCTCTGCACACGAGCTACAAGTGCATCTTTTAGTTCATTATTGAAACTCAAGCTGTGCACCTGTTGTGGTTTTTATAACATTTTTACGTGGGTTTAGTAGTTAGAAATGGAAAAAAATAAAATAACAACAAATATAAAACGTTTTGAGTCTTAGGCTATTTAAGGTGAATAATTCTTACAATCTTCAGTAATTTTAGGAAGAAAAAGAGTCATTTTACATGATTTAATGTTATTTTGTGATGGTTACATGATCACTCAAATGGACCAAGTCTGTATAGTGTTAGGAGACAAAAAATAATACATAATACAAAGTTTTACTGAAAAAAAATGTATTTTTAATCTTGGCATGAAAATTATTTTGCACTCAGAGTCAACATACTGACTCCATATATTCATGGACAAATTTGTATTTAAAATATTTAATTTAAAAAATCTGATTTTTTTGCTTACAAGAAACTATGTTTACTAAATGCTTGCCAATTTTGTGAAGATACATTTACTACATTAAAAGTTAAGAGTATGTACACTTCAGTAGTTACATGATGGTTACAAGATCGGTCAAAATGACCCAGCCTGTATATGGAATATTGAGAGTTAACTAGGAAGTGTTGTAAGTATTACTTAACTTTAGAATGTTCAATATTTATACTGTCTACCTTATTGTTTTTAATGAAGTGAATATTATTTAACAATAGGATGATTCAATATCAATCTGTAGTCATCGGGAAAAAATAAATGCAATAAGGTGTGTAAACATGTACCTTCAAGATCGTAACGTCTGACATGTTCTTTGTATTTCCACCATAAACCTGTATTGTAATTTGAGTAGCATGTTGTGTAGACTATTAATTTTTTGTCACATTTCTAGGACATTCCTCATCAGATGAACGGAAGTGACTGCGGGATGTTTACATGCAAGTATGCTGAATACGTTACCCGTAGAGGAAAGATCAACTTTACTCAGGTTTGTAAACTTCAGTTAAAGTGTAAATTATAACAATTACTCTTCCAAATAAAGTAAGTAAAATTTTCATTAAAGTAACATTAGTTCAGTGTATTTTGTTGATCTCCAAAAATTGTACTCTTTTTCTCTCTTTCTTCGTGTAGATAGTCACTGTACGAAAGTAAAAACAACAACAGATGATCAAGTAGTAATAGTAACATGCTAGAAAACAAATGAATATCTGTTAGTACTGCTTGAATGATTCACCTCATAAGACGCGTAATTTTTTGTTCCAGGCTCACATGCCGTATTTTAGGAGGAGGATGGTGTACGAGATCTTGACCAAGAAGCTTTTGTAATCTTCCAACTTACGACTGCTTTTCATCTCTGCATCATTTTGTACACCAAACAGCACATACTGTACAGATAACGTTTACTAAGAAATACAGACACAGAGGCTATATCGACAGATGTTGTTTTATTTCATTTTGTATTTTGTTTTAATTGACGTAATAAATGTATTACAATAACTTCGAGGGTTCTGACGTTACAATCAAATACAGTGAAGTTAATCAACATAACCGTATGTTAAAACTTATAGATCCATTTTAAATAGTCTGGTAAGTTTTGAATTTATTTGCTGTCTTCTGTAGCAATCATATCATAATTAATCTTCTGTTTTAGTATTAAAAAAAAAGTAGAACTTTTCAGAACTGTTAAATCCGATAGAGAATTTCAGTACGTAATTTTGGCAAAGTTAATATGTCGTACAAATGTTATCTTTATTAAACCGAAACAATACCATGATGTAAATATATTGAAAGTTTTGTTTTTTATGTGGCTTATCAGGATAAATATAAAAGTCTCTTTCATGGTAAATGAATTTCACTCCCCCCGTAGCTGAACCAAATTTTTTAGATTTTATTAACAGTAACAAGTAATAAATTTAGACAGTGTATCTTCCACTTACCTATTATCGCACACTTCTACAGAGGTTGTAGATTATGTTGTTACACTAATGTTCTTTATCTGAATTCAGTGTCTGATATTTACCCATTATATTTGAAGAAATATCACCTTAAAATTGTGTTTGGAAATGCTCATTGCTTAAGATCTTTTCTTCCAGTCATAAATATTATAAGCAGTTCTGTAACAATTTGTTGGCCAAATTAAAAAATGGGTTTCCATAACCTTACAAAATTAAAAAAAACCATGATAGGTGTCAGGTTTTTAGTAACCTTTTTATGTGTTTGGTAAGTTTTATTACCAGAATATTTAACTATGGCCTAATTGCACTTGTAGTAGTTGAATTAATAAAATTATTATATAATCCCAAATATCTTTTAATGCTGAAAGTTTGTTAAGCAGTTGCACGTGTAACTTAAATTGTAAATAACCAAATATGTTGCCCGAAATCAGTTTCTTTTTTGGATTAATGATGTAAAAAAAAAGTCTTGTTGCAAACTTTGTGGGCTTTAGTCAGAATGTTAATTTCCTAAAAACGTATAACGTATTCTGCTTTTGTTTTTTTTTTAATTTGACAATACAATGTGGAATTATCTATATATATGTCATTTGTGATATAAAAACTAAAACTATACATGTCCTGAATGCCATGTTCAGTTTTACTAGGTTAATGCACACGTATTAAATACTAATGTCTTCAACAGAAACTAATTCACTGATGTTTACTAGATGTTGGTGAATAAATCAAAAGTCTTTAAAAATTGAACTGTAATTACTGCATCAACATCAACATTCAGATGTTCCAGACATCTCGTCAGTCAGTTAGATGACTTGTTTGTAAATAATCTGTGGGTGAGTGTGTTTAGAAACGTATGTATTGTAGATGGTAACATTTTGATCAGTGTATATGCTAAATTATTCATTATTTTGTGTTCTATGATGTTAATCATTATTTATATCAACAGTATTGTAGCAAATCAAGATGTAACCTCAATTATAGAAGTAACGGATTCTGTCTTGTATTCTTATAGCAAGTTTCATAATTAAAATATTCAGGTACTATGTCCGAGTTGAACATGATCTAATCTGCATTATTATGCTCAATTTTAATGTTAGACTATTTTTACAACATATCATAAGAAACACTAAGAAACTGGTATTGCTAAATATAAACCCTGTAACAGTCAACTTCTCGGTTCTGGTTAGCATTTTAGTGTGTACTTTTGGTATTAAGCACTTTGTAAAAGTTTTGAATTGTCTCTTCGAAGAGGAATTGGCCATCCTAAAATTTTGCAATCCTTCTTTTAAAATTTCATACTTAAAATAAGCATCATGATAACATTTTTAAGGTTTCGCTCCTAAAAAAATATTAATTGGTGTTGATTGTAAACACACACACAGCTCTGTAGTAGCTATTGTATTTTTACTAATGTGTACTTTTATAAGTTGATATACAGTTTTGCCTCTTGTATGTAGAGTAATAGTACCTGTATTAAAACATAAACCTTAAAAGTTCACGTATAGGAGAAACACAATTAATTTCTATGGTTTATCCATAAAAATCCCTTCAGAGACTTAAGTACTTCACAAAGAAATTCTCTTTTTTCAATGTTTTTCTGACTTCGTTTCTAAACTCTTCTATTCACTGTAATTTGCATTAACTTTTTGGTGGATATATTTAATGTTTATAACTTTCCTGCTTACAAAGATATTTTAAATATACTCGATATAATTAAATATTTTCCCTGGCTAATGTTTCTGTAATGTGGTGAAACACAGACTTTCATATTAAGTATACATCTATATTAAACTATCTAACAACTGATCTTAACTTATTCCTTAAACAGTTGTGTTTCAGATCTTTGCACACTAAAATGTCCAAACATTGTCTCGAAATTAAAGTGACTTTTTGCTGAGAAAATTAAAAACACCTGGTTGAAGTTTCTCAAGTAGTTTTTAATTTGAAGAGACTAAACTTACACTTTAAGGATCAGGGAACTTTGCTAATAATATGTAGGTGTGAGAGATTTATAAATATTTGTTCCAAGAGACTAAACTTACACTCTATGGAATAGGGAACTTTCCTAATAATATGTAGGTGTGGGAGATTTATAAATATTTGTTCCAAGAGACTAAACTTACACTCTAAGGACTAGGGAACTTTCCTAATAATATGTAGGTGTGGGAGATTTATAAATATTTGTTCCAAGAGACTAAACTTACACTCTAAGG